ATTGCAATTATTAAAAGTTCTAGCAATAAGCAAAACAATTCGCATGTGTCAAAAACAACAGTTTCTTATAAATGAGTTAATTTATGATTAACTATGAAATACTAGTTCGCGTTTAACATTTAAATATTCTTGCAGCTTTGGTGGAATCGGCAGCTTTGAAATTTCTTCAGATGCGGTATGTTGCTGTATAACACGTCGGCACAGGTCCTGTAACTGTGGCATTTTGAAATAGCGACTCAGTGGATACTTCAATATGACTGGACAGGGCGGTTGCAATTCATTCTGTACTTTTACGAAACATACAAAATTATCATTAGTACAACGATATAGTATGTCTTCTATCATTTCCACAATAGATTCGTATTGTAATTCCTCAAAATGCCAATATCCATCACGGTATTCTAAGCGATAATGAAACGTTACGTTCACAATTCGAAAACTTAACGTAAACTGGCAGCCACGAGTTTCCGAATCACGCACCAGAAACGAACCGGTGGGTTTGTCGCTTAGTTGCCTTTGTGCGTCGAGTCTTGATATTTCGCCCCAGTACCAAACTTGGCTAGCGTTGCAATATGAAATATGGAAAACAAATGTTTGATGGTTAGAAAGCTTAAAATACACTAAAATGAAAGTGTTTTCATTAACAAATTTGTTCATACATACATTACACGGCCGGAACAAAGTATTAGCACAGCAAATTTTTCACAATATTTGCAACAATTTTTATTATAAAATTTTCCGCCAATTTTGTGTAAAAATATGGCTTATTTTACAACAAAACCCATAAAAATATAACTCCTAAACTTTGGCCAAAACTCGCGAAAATTCAGCAAATTTTCATGCAAAATTTTGAATTTTTTTAATCAGATTTTTTAAATCTTTTTGAGTACGCAGATTTGTAGCAAAGTTAAGAAATTATATTTTTATGTTTTTTGTTGTAGAATGAACCATATTTCNTAAAATTGTTAAATGTAGTCAGAAACTAATGACAAAACCTTCTACCTTTGGTTGATGAGTTTGGTTGACAGACCTCCGCCAAACTATGCTATTTTGAAAGAAATTTTCCCATTAAAATGTAACTAAGGCTTATTGTAAAATTGCGTAAGTTGAGCAAGCGATAAGACCGTGGATAATGTGTTGATACAATGTTGGTAGAAAAGATACGGTTTCATTGCTGAGTACGATAAGAAGCCTGCATACAACTTATTAGTTGCGTTCCAGGTGTTTCACGATTTGCAGGTTTTTACAGTAAGTGGTTCCCGGTCACCACCTTCTTCTTGTGAATCCTGTAAAACCTGCAAGTCGTGTAGTACCTGGAACAGGGCTATTATGTATTCCATTAATAGTTCTTAGAGCGAAAATACAAAGCATCAACATCTTCTATTTCTAACACTTAGTAGATTGTAATGCCAAATGT